CAGAACTGTGATTGACACTGTGATGAAGGATGCTGAAGTGTGTGTGTGTGTGTGTGTGTGTGTGTGTGTGTGTGTGTGTGTGTGTGTGCCCATCAGTTTATAGAAAACGTAGGCATTGTGCTGGAGTCATGTGTCTCTTGACGTGTAGAACAATAAGCACCGGTTTATGATGCAATTGGAGCATCCTTAACACTTGTAGCAACCTGGAGTTACCACCATTATTCTATTTGTTTCTTTGTTGCTGGATGACCGTTGCAAGTGGTTTGGAAAGGACAGTGGTTTGGAAATCTAGATGAATGAGTTTTAAACTTTGTCAGGGTTTCTGTTAAGTATAATGTTTCTAATGAAGAGCGATTCAGTCTGTCCTGGTGGCAGAGGCCTGTGAATCCCAGCCACCAGGGAGTCTTAGGCCAAAGGGTCAGAAGGTCTATAGAGCTGCAGACTTCAGAGTCAACCTGGGTAACTTAGTGATGCTCTGTCTCGGAATCACCAAGGTCAAGGAGCTGGGGATGTAGTTCAGTGTTCCCAGAATGCTTTGCCTTGTTTCAGCATTCCCAGAATGCTTGGCTTTGTTTGTATGAAACCCTGTTTGGTTTTCCAAACTATCCTTCCCCATAGCATATACACAAAAGGAGAGCTGTATATTCTATCTGGATTTTCCTGGCTTTGTGGATCTCTGCCTCTTATCAAAGTGAGTTCTTACTGAAGTTTTGATCTTACAAATCATCTCACGGTCTTTGGTATTTATAGAATAGACTTGACTGTTAAGTATTAAGGGGGTTCTAGGTGGAAATCCTTTCAATTCCCAGACCTTTTGTATTCTCTATTCTTTTCAGAAAGGTTACATTTATTTGTTTTATTTTAAGAACTGGGAGGAGGAACATACATATAAGGGATGTGTGTGTAGAGGGGGCACAAATGTCCCAGCACGCGTGGAGGTCAGAGGACAACTCCGGGGTCAGTTCTTTCCTTCCAAGTGTGCATTATGGGGATCAGTTCAGTCTTCTGCAGAGCCATCTCTCCAGACCTCATGAATTTTTTTTTAAGAATCTAGGGGGAAATCAATTTACCCTAATTTATTTATCTTTTTCACTGTTACTGCCACCAAGGTGGGTTTCAAGCTGTGTCTCTCATGTCTGTGCCTCTGGAATCCCGTGCCCCTTAGGTAGGGACTAGCGTTTGTCCCAGTTAGGAAGCCGTGGTCCCTCTTCTCTTGCTGTCACCTCTGTCCTTCCTCTTCCCATACACTTTATAAAGAAAGATCAAGTGTTGATAATAGAACAACATGCTTTGTTTTTAAAAATTATACCTGACTAAAGATATTTAATACTGTTGATTTATAAATATAAGAAGTTTAAAATATATTTAGGAGCTAGAGACATGTTTCTTGGTGGGTGAAGTGCTTACTGGGCCAGCATGAGGGTCGAGCACCCAGGTGGAATGCTGAACACCAGTGTGACACCCTGTAATCAGTACTGGGGGACTGATGGGGGAATCTCAGGGGCTCACTGACTAGGACACACAATGCTGATCACTGGCCCCCCTCTGGCACACACTTCTCCCCACAAATATATTATTTTTAATTTATTTATTAAATAAATAATTTATTTAATATGTGTGTGTGTACACATATAAGGCACAGGTTAACGATTTTCAACATGCACATGGTATGTGACAATCAGGATACTTAACATTCCCATCTCCCTAAACTTCAAAAAATGTTTGATTAACACATATTGATTATACCTATTTCTGAGACTCAGAGATGCAGTGTGAAAGACAATACATGCATACAATATATACAGGTCAAATCAGGGCAATTAACATTCGTGTCATATTGTTATTATTTAATGTATAAAATCTTTAAAGAAAAAACTGATATAGAGTTCTAGAAATGATATTAATACAAATATAATACAAATAATATATAGAAAGAATCCTCTCTTGCCATGGAACTCTGTTCAATCCCTAGTGAGTAAAATGGAATAGATTGATAAACCACTCACTGAAGAGCAACTGGGACTCTCAACTATTCCCAGCAGCAATGGAAAAATGGAACAACCACTTTGGAAAATAGTTGGAAGCTTCTTATGAAGATGAAAACCATTGTATGAGATTTATTCACAGTCATCCCAAACTGGAAACAATCCGCACGCAATCCATTAGTAGATGAATGAAAAGCAAATTGTAGCATATATATTTGACAGAAATTATGTCACTATGAAAATGCAATGAATATGTGATAGCAAAACAATATACTTAAACAACTTTCAAAATGATGCTGAGGCTGACTGAGAAGCCAAGGACAATGGCTCTGGGCTTTGATTCTACTGCATGGACGGGCTTTGTGGGAGCCTGTCTGTTTGGATGCTCACCTTCCTGGACCTGGGGGGAGCGGGGAGGACCTTGAACTTTCCATAGGGTAGGGAACCCTGACTGCTCTTTGGCCTGGAGAAGGAGGGGAAGTGGGGGGAGGGGAGGAGAGGGAGGTGGGAGGAGGAGAGGAGGTGGAAAGTTTTAATAAAATAATAAAAAAAATGAGGCTGAGGAAAAGAAGCCAGGTGTTATACGATTGGCAAGTATATGAAACTTGAGAGACAAAAATCATCTAGGTTATAAAGACGCAGGCCCATCATTCCCTGCTGAAAGCATCCTGCAAAGGCGATTGAGGGCAAAGTCATAGAAATACATGGGCAATATTTGAGGTGCTGGAAATAGAGTGGGCACTGAGTGTGACCCTGTTTGCACAGATGTGTGCTCACTCAGTGCAAAGCCTGATGTGGCTAAAGGACGTGTTGTCAGGTTCATGGTCTGAATTTGATTGAACAGAAAATAAGTTTCATAAAGCTGGGCAGTCCCAGGAGATGAGTGGACCAGCAGTCTAGGAAGCAGAACAGAACAGAGCCATGAAGTGCAGGTTGCTGGAAGTGATGACATCACAGCTTGTGAATGGTATCCACGTGATACACAGGGCCCTGCTGTAATACTTGTCCCTGGGTATAGTTGCTACTGGGCCCAAAGGACACCAAAGCCACCAAGCATCTTCCCTCCCTACATCATCTCTGACTCAAGAGCTCTCCTGTTCTCTTCAACCCTTCCTGTCATGTATAGGTCATTCACTTTTTCTTAAAGTTTTATTGAAACACAGCCACATTCACTTGTGTGTCCACTGCCCATGGCTATGCCAAATTGAACAGGCTTGAACATTCGCAGCACTTACCTTTCACAGGACAGCTTGCTGGTGTTTTGCAGAAATCCCGCTTGACTCCACCTCTTACCTGTCTTTTCCTCCCTGTCTAAACTTAGTCTCCACGACTGCCTGGCAGGCTCCCAGTTCAAATCACACCAACCTGGCCAGTTCCCATTTCAAATAACACCACCCTGGCAGGCTCCCAGTTCAAATCATGCCACCCTGGCAGGCTCCCAGTTCAAATCACGCCACCCTGGCAGGCTCCCAGTTCAAATCACGCCACCCTGGCAGGCTCCCAGTTCAAATCACGCCACCCTGGCAGGCTCCCAGTTCAAATCACGCCGCCACCCTGGCAGGCTCCCAGTTCAAATCATGCCAGCTACCTTACAGTTACAATCAGTGCTTTCAAATTCTTCTTGCTCATAATCATATTTGATTTTGTTCCTTCCTCTACCCTGTTCAAATTCTGATTCTTTCTTAAAGATGATTCTAGGTTGTCCCTGCCCTGTTTTGACAGCCGATGGTAACATGTGTGTCATACAGTGAACTCCTAGGTTTCTCTCGAGCCAGGTTGTTATACCTGTGACTAGTTGAGAACCTGGGTAAAGGATCATTCCCAGTGTTCAAGGAGGACTATCAGAAGACATCTTTAATTTGTCTGCTATTTATCTCTCTTCCAAGATTATTGCTTCAAGCCTAGATGTTCACAATGTCATCTTTTAAAAATCTTTTTTTAACTTTTGTGGATTCTTTATGGATTTCACATCATGCATCCCAATCTCGCTCATCTCCCTGTCCTCTCGCTCCCATCTGCCCTGCCAACCTCCCCCCAAAAACAAAATTTAAAAGGAAAACACAAGGAGACAAAAAAAAAATCCCCAAAACAAAACCAAACTCTCTCTGTGGAAGCTGTAGCGCGACCCAGTGCCAGCTGTAGCATGAGCCAGCGAGTCACACAAGATTGTGTATATATATATATATTATATATATATACATACGCATGCACGCGAGCACACACACACACACACACACACACACACACACATAAATATCTTTAGCTCGTACATCTTCACTTGTAGATGTTTACTCGCAGTCTTATCTGCATTGGTCTCCGCTCAGTTTTTGTTCTGTTCTCCACACAGCAGCCGGCTGTCTTTGCAAAAGCATGTCATAATCCTTTGCTTTATTTCTTAGCACCCAGAACCCCACATAAGTGCAATCAAATCCTTTCCTCCTGTGTCCTGATGCTTTCTTTTGATATCTCTTCTTCAACAGACTGATTCAGCAAACCAGGCCCTTTCCCAGCCTCACCGCTGTCCTCCCAGAATCCTTCCTGCCAGTTCCTTGTGTGGCTGCTTATCCTGCACACAGCACACTTTCAGAAGGGAGTTCTGTTTCCCCACCAAAAAAAAAAAAAAACAAAAAACATGCCTGCTTCATATCAGTGACCAGGCCAGTCTGCACAATCTGAAACATGCTTTGATCATGCATTGTCTCATGGATCATTGTCTTCTACCAATTCATAGCTACTATATGGATGGAGGTCTCCTCTCTACCTTGTCCCTGCATCCAGAATTCATCATGGGATGGTCACTGTATGTCTTCTACCAGTTCATAACTCCTGCAGCAATAGAGCTTTCCTCTATCTTGCCTCTGCATTCTAGTATTCCACACAGGACAAGGCTTGTGAAGACAGCAGCTGTCGCAGGAATCGGCTAGAGAAACAAGAATAGGCAGATGATGCCCAAGGCTTGCTCTCACACTTCAGTGAAGTTTTCTAACGCTCTTTCTTTAAACCCTAACTTTACAGGTACTTCTGTCGTGACTGTAAAGGCTTCTGCATCAATCCCAGACCCCATCAAATATTCAATTTTTAGCGGGAATGAAGATGGAGTGTTTTCCCTGGGCTCCGCCTCAGGTAATCCCTCTCTACTGTACGATGCCTCTAGTTTCTGTTTAACCTACTACTGGCTCTACTGATACGTTCTTTGGAAAAATGTGAAAGATTCAAGGCAAAAGATGGCACAGAAAAAACACAGGAGCCAAAGAATGGGACGGAGGGTGGTGAAACGCTGCCGCTTCCTAGACATGGTGTGGTTGTTGTGCTTATGAGCATCTCCACAAGACCTGCACACGACTGGGCCTTGTAGTGACCCACCGTGGACAGGCGAGGGGTTCATGCACCATGCCCTAGCCCTGCACAGGGAGCTGGAGGCTGTGGGAGGGCGAGTCACTCCCTAGTGGTGGAGTCACTGGTAAGCTGTCTCTGCTCCAGTCAATAGCCCCTACATATGACCATGGAATTAAAATCCAATTAAAAAGTCAGTGATTCACAAAATTGATAACAGTGGGAGGGAGACATGTTAGGCATAGGGGGTGCAGCAAGGTTGAAGGGGTAGGAGAGAATAATTGAGGATGAATATGATCGGAGCTTATGTGTGTGTATAAATATATATATATACACATATATTTACATACATGCATACATACATGAAATTTGAAAGAATAAATTAAAAACTTAAAAGTTTGAAATTGTCGGAGATAAATAATTTTAAGGTAAATAAGAATTGCTTTATGGCAGCCCATGAAAAATTATGAAAAACCCAATACAGTGTATTTGTTATATGTATAGACTCAGTGAAAATTATGTTTCTATTATTTCCAAATAAGACTTTGTCTTTCCTTCCTTTTAAGTTTTTGGAGATGCATTGGTTTTTATTTACAATTTACGCACATTTGTAATACTGAAGATAAAATTAGGGAGATCATTGATACGTAATTTGATTTAAAAATAAACACACTCTCTGGCATTGGGTGATTTTCATTGGAAGGGGCTCTAATTCACCACTCATCTCAACTGGGAAACTCAAGGACTCATGGGAAATTTCTCTGTGGTATTAGAGAAACTACATACAAATAGGGTGTGTGTTAAACTCAGCTTCAGTAAGACTCTTACTACACTGTGAGCACCAACCAATCACACAGGCACAGAGAGTGACAACTATCAATTGCCTCACTGGTAAGCCTCAACAGGAATATTTCTGGTAATTCCTGCATTTATGTACAACTCAGCTGCTTTATGTAATCTATGTAATGCAGTATGGGAAAAGCAGGTGTTGTCTGAGTAACTGTCATCTCATTCAGGGCGGTGCTGTGACTTTTGGTCATCAATCTTCAGTCAGCATTCTTGTAAGATGCGCTGGGGTTTTTCATCTCTTCATCCATGGTAGAGTCAAGTATAGGGCAGCAAATATCACCACACCTTAATCCTCGTGGTTCTGGTGTGTGAGCATCTGGGATAAGAAATAAAATTAAACGTATTTAGAAAAAAGGAAGAATAGTAAGGTTTGCATATTTCCATAGGCTATCTTCCATATCACACTCTTGAGATCCAGGCGTAGCCTTCCAATTCCCTAAATTCCTTTACTAAACAAAAATAAACTCTGTTGTTAGATCAATGAGATTACCTAGGGAAATATATTTTGTGACTAAGCAATTAGCTATGTTGAAATTTACCTTAAATATTTTTGAAATACATGTAAGATGTGTTTATAAAAGGCATGTAATTTTATACTAGACAATGGAAATTTAAAAGCCCATTCATTTGTCACCTATCTCTATGTTGGGGACCAGCCTCGACAAAAATACCACTTGCCAGGCTAGGGGCATAAGGATTAGGACTATAAGTAAAGAGTGTAAAGACACATATGAAGGCAGTAAAACAGAAAACATAGGATAGTGCCCAGAGGAAGTTCCAGTGAGTACTGAAATTGCTTGTGGTTAATTTCCAACTGCTTAAAATACCCTGACCCCAAGAGGTAGGCGAAAGATAGAAAACTGCATTAACATGATACAAGAAAATAATTAGACCAGTTGAAGGTCATGGGCTACATCCGTAGTTAAACATTCTGTTGCTCGGACTAAACAAGTTCCGCTCACACCCTAGACCAAAACGTTCTGTAGGCAAACCACGCCCAGGGTGAAATCCAGTATTGTCTCCTTAAAGGAACTGGAACCTTAGTTGGATCCTTAGACTTTTGTTTGAGGTAGGAACAGGTCTGCCTCTCTATTCCTGGAGCACAAGATCTGGATGTTAGCCACACCAGCTGACAATGATCTTGAGAGAGCAGAACTCTTCTCTGAATCTAGGTGGACCCTTGTTTGAGGTAGAAGCACAGTAACCTTGAAGGAATAGAGGTAAGTTTCAACTCTCTGACCTTTGGTCAAGCTGAAAACGGCTCACATTTTTGGGCCTCCACACCTCTAGAAATGTTATTTTACTGAAGGCCAGGTTTGGTGCACACACGTTTAATCCCAGCATTCAGGAGGCAGAGGCAAGTGGATCTCTGTGAGTTTCAGGGCAGACTAGTCTTATGTAGTGAATTCCAAGGCTATGTGGAGAGACCCTGTCTCAAACAATCAGAACAAAACAGCAAAAACAAATCAAAACAAAAACCCTTAGTGGATCAGGAATCTACCCTTCCCTTTCTGGTCAGTTTCTTCCATCTTTTACTTCCTGTTTCCTCCTTCCTATACTGTGGTCAGAAATTTGTATAAACTGTAGAGTGACTAAATCAAGGAAATTAGCATGTGGCTTTTGATACATTGTCATTAAAATTGTGCCTAAGAGTAGTTAGCATAGATTTTCTGGATGTGTGAGTTATAAAATGGAAAACTAGTATGAATGATTAATCAATAAAATTGATCACTCAACAGATACAGTCACTTTTCTTAAGGATAAAAATGAGATGAACTTCTGAGCCATAGTTCCAAACGAAGGGTTTACTTTTGTGCATAAATTACAAGTCACTTTGGATTAAAAGCACTCATAACAGTCACTCTTACTGCCCATCACAAAATGCCCCAAGTGAGAGTCACACTGGATACTACATACTGTTCAGAGGGACTAGTCACACTGTATATTGTCAAGCAGTGTGGGTTGTGAAAGTAATAAATCAAATGCATTTCTGTCATTTTAAATTAGGTAATAGAAGGGGTGGAGGTACAGAAGGGGCACAGAAATTGAGAACATGAGATGCTCTTCCAGAGGCCTTGGAGTTAGGGTCTCAACACCCATTCTGGGCATCTCCTAACTTCCCGCACCTCCAGCTCCAGGAAACACAGCAATCTCAGTCTGTCCTCTACGGATGCTGCATTCATGTGCGCATACACAGACACATATATGCACAGTAATTTTTTTTAAAAAAAAGAATTGTTGAATGTGGTAGTAAAGCTTTTATACAGAATCTAGAGTTCTTCAGAATCGCAATGCATGTGCCTTCATGTACCTGGAAATCCCCGTTTCTAGCCTTCCTCGTGGCTCTTTTATGACCTGTACTATTATCACGCCGTCCTACAACAGATGGACACAGTAGAAATCACACAGAGGAATTTCTTATTTGGGGCAAGAACTTGAGCTGCGACATCGTCCCCCAAGGTCGGTTTCTGTAACCTGGTTCTGTATTTTCTATGAGGGTATAGAAGTACTGAGTACTGAAGTGCTGAGTACTGAACACCATGAGCTAGGTACTGGGAATATGGTGTTCCAGGGTCAGGGAGCAGTGCTTACTAGCATAGTCCACAACCAAGGAAAAGGAGTTAGAGTAGAAAGGATAAGCAGGGAAGGTGCAGTTGTTCAAACACAGAAGGCTTAAGGTGGATGCATCCTCACCTGAGAGAGGGAAGTGGAAAAAGATAAACAAGACTGAGGAAGGGACAGGCCTGAACCAGCGTATCCCTGTCAGTTAAAGCCACTTGCCTTTCTCACACTGGGGAAATCCACTGACAAGTTCTATGTGAAGGAATGGCAGCTTTCTTACTAGTTCAGAGTGGATACAGATCCTTGGGAGATCAGTCAAGTGGCTAATGCAGGGACTGAGGAGGGAAACACTAACAGTTTCCAGGAAAAGAGCAGCAAGGGAGATGGAAGTAAATTTCAGACATGTTTGAGGGCCAAGGAGACAGCTCAGGGAGTAAAAGCATGAGTCATGCAAGTCTGCATAGCCCCCAGCTCAGTTCACAAAACCGTCCTAAAAGATCAAATGCAGTGTATCACACATCTGTAATCTTAACACCCCTACTGTGGGAAGGGAGGTGGAGACCGAAATGTTGCTAGAGCCGAGAGTGCATGGGAAAACAGCAGGAATATGGGGGGGGCCACGCATGCCTTAGCTGAGCTGAGGGCAAGAACCAACTTGCAAACCTTGTTCTCTGGTCTTCGCATGCACACATGCACAGCACGGCAATGCCTTCCCCCAGTGAGTGAATGAACAGATGGATTTTTAAAAAAAGAAATGTTCAAGGTGTAGATAAATGTAAATATGAAGAGCAAAGGATGGTTTAAGAGAAAACTCCAAGGTTTTAGATAGTTGCCTATCAGTGTTGGAAATCTGAAAATATCCACAGATCCCAACTTTTTCCATAATGTCCCTGGTCAGAACACATGAGTTAATAATGCTTTGAGATATTTTAAAATAACATCATCATTTCTCTTTAATATTTCCTCCTTCGGAATAAAACCAGGAGAACTCACTGTAGAAGAGCCGCAGTTCCTTGATTTTGAAGTCAGGAGCGAAGCACAGCTCATCATTCTGGCTGAGAGCAGTGGGCACAGAGCCTTCACCAAAGTAGCGGTTTCCATCCAGGATATGAATGATAATGCCCCACGCTTCACACAAAGTGTGTACAGAGCATCAGTCTCCGAAGGCCAGCTCTACAATGCTCTTGTCATACAGGTAACAGAAAGTGCATGCACGCGTGTGCATGTGTGTGCATGCGTGTGCATGTGTGTGTGTGTGTGTGTGATATCAATCAATGTATGTCAGAGTACCTATGACCTATTACCAAGAAGCAATCCAGTTTTCTCAATCTCCAGGATATGTTCAATGTTTTATGGGCTGATGAATCCTTAGACTGCAGAAACTCTTCTTCATTGATCCTGTGCTCAGTTCTCAGCCACCGGCTTCTCCAGGGACTCCCCGAACGCTAGTAAAGACTCTGTAGGTCACAAAACTGTCTTAAATCCCAGGTGAAGACAGAGACTCAGTGGAGCTCATTCCCTCGATGGTAACAGCTCAGGCTGAGGCTCCCAGAGTCACTTCTGTTCCTGTGTTGGCTAGGGTGCTGTTGCTCTGACAGCTACTCTGGTGATGTTAACCCAGTGAAGCTGTGTTGCTATCACGCTAATGAACTGAGACCCACCTGGAGAAGCCTGCTCTCTGTAAGATGTTTAAATACACAACTCCAGGGGACACAATGGTCTTTGTTCTTGCTTGGAAACTAGTTCCTTTTCCTGGTGTTCTCAAAGACTGCTGTGGCCCTTCTGTTCCACCGTGCTAGTTGGAATTACCTCCTGATAAGGTCCAGAGTATTCCTCACGGTCCTCAGCATCCTCTGAGAACTTGGGCAGAAGTTTGAAGACTGAGCTGAGAAGTAATTAGGAATAAAACTAGGGAATCAATATAGGAGACCAAGAGATGACAAGGGATGCAAGCTGGGGCAGAGTCACAGTAGATACAGAAAGCAAAAGTTAGGACAATTTACTAATTCAACATCTTGTTAAAACCTTGACTCCAGTGACACAACTGGTTTAGTGTTTGAAAGTCAGCCCAGAAGACCCTGTGATATATCTCTATGGGAAGTGATACAGACCTTTATTCTATTCTTAGCGCTACTTTGAAAACTCATCAAATAAACCATTGGGATAATTTATTGGCAGTAATCTAGGATTTGATTCACTTTTCAAAAGTCCCTTGAGTTAAAATTTCATTATAATATAAAAAAGTTTCTTGTTGACCTCTTTTATAGACAATGCTTCAATCAATAAGAGGGGAATATGGACTCGGGAGTGGCTCATTAGAGAGAGCACCTGCTCTCTCTGTAAGTGTGAAAGTTGGAGCTCAAATCCCCAGGCGGCATGTCAAAGCAGACAGGTGTGGAGCTGCCCCATCCTCAGAAGGGGGAAGGCAGGGCATTCATGAGGCAACCAGGCTAGCAGACTCGCTAGACTAGCTGACTCGGTGAACTCCACGCTAAGGAGGCTAAGGAGAGATTCTGCCCAAAGAAGTAAATGAAGACATCGAATGTCAGCTTCTGGTCTCCACACACATACACACGCAAAAATCAAAAGTGAAGAAGAGAGATCAAGGGAAGAATCGCCATTCAATGTATGGAGTTTCCTGTAATTCATGCCCTCTTTCTCAAGCCAGTGAAAACTCATGGCAGAACTAGAAAGCTTCCAGTCAAGCCTATTAGGAGTCTCCAGAAAGCGCGCCAGTTGCACATAGTTATAGCTTGAGATGTGTGAATGACATCTGGAAATCTTTTAGATGAATGTGAGAACATTTTCTGTCCCATTATCCAGACCGTTAAAGTCAAATGCAAGTGTCAGCTGTCTGTTGGCGGGACTCAAAGCCAGTGCTTCTCAACCTGTCGGTCCTGACCCCTTTGGGGGTTGAATGACCCTTTCACAGGGGTTGCCTAAGACCACCAGGGAACACAGAAATTTGCATTATAGTTTATAACAGGTACCAAAGTGAAGTTATAAAGTTTATATTAACAAAATAATTTTGTGGTTGGGGATCACCACCCCATGGGAGACTGAATTAAAGGGTTGCAGCGCCGTTAGGAAGGTTGAGAACCGCTGTGTGGTTTTTTTTTTTTCAATGCATTTGATAATCTGTATTCTTTCCTAATGCATTTCTCTGAGAAGCAGGCTTGGATCACATTACAGGTTGCATCTTTTCTAATGGAAAAATTGATTTCTCACAGGTGTTTGCTACTGACTCGGATGGTGGATTGAACAGCTTGATCGAGTATTCCATCGTCTCTGGCAACCAAGCAGAAGCCTTCCAGATGGATGCGCTGAGCGGGGTGATAACAACAGGTTCTGTCCTGGATTACGAGTCCTTCCACTCATACAGGTGCGTTCAAGGTTCTCTCTCATTGGAGAGTTCATCCTTTACTTTGTCTCGACGAATCCTTTGATACCCTACAGTCGACCTCCAGGCCCATTCCAGCAGTCTTAGAAATTATTTCCTGTTTTGAAAATGTGACTGGACTAGGTCGCAAACTGGATGTATCCTTGTAAGAACCGAGGGAGCGAGTTTCAAAAGACAGCACTGGTGCCGTGGGAGTGGAAATGCCCTCTGCAAAGTCTGTGCCACTGTTCCACAGAGAAGAAAAGAATTGCATGCCTTTTTGTAATTCTTCATTCTTTTTGTGTGTGAAGAGCACAGCCTTGTCACCAGGGCCCTTGTTGTGGCTTGGTCTAGCAGACGGACCTTATTGAAAGCTGACATTGCCATTAAAGATTGTGCTCTCAAGTCTGAGGGGTGCCAGCCTTCACAACAAGCATCTCTGCTGAGGGCCTGCTCAGTGACTGTAGGAGTCAGGGTTGGTAAAGTCCAGACTCCATACAGATTCTTACAGCATGTAACTCAATAAAGCGAAGGACTCTGAAAAACCCCAAATGGCCACAAATGGGTATTCCTCAAAGAATGGTGGCACAGCCATTGAAAAGAACACCCGGAAACCGATTTCTAAAACCAGGTCAGCGACAGGGCAGGGATCTAGGGCCTCTTATTCAAAGAATCGAAATGAAAGTCGACACAGTTGCGAAAGTACCCAGCAAGCTTATTTAAAGCAAATCATAGAAAATGTCAGAATACGGCTGAGGGGGTGGCTCAGTGGTTAAGAGAACAGGCTGTTCTTGCAGAGAACCCGGGTTCCATTCCCAGCCCTCCGATAGAAGCTCACAAGCATCTGTAATTCTGGTTCAGAACTAGGGCTGGGTAGTGGTCCAGATCCTCTTACAGCCCCTGAGGGAGCGTGGGCATGCAAATGGTGCACACACATGCAGGAAAAATAACCACACAAATAAAACAAATAATTAAAAAAAAATAATAGGGGCTAGAGAGATGGCTCAGCAGTTAGGAGTACTAATGGCCCTTGGGAATTGAACCCAAATCCTCTGGAAGAGCCATTAGCACTCTTGAATTGAATGGGTTCAATTCCCAGCATCCACATGGTACCTCACAACCATCTGTAACTCCAGGAACCAAGGAAACAGACATACATACTGGCAGAACACCAATGCACATAAAAATAATTAATTTATTAAAAGAGGAAAAGGGCAGAATGCATTGCACAGGAGAAGCCCCCCTCCCCCACCCGGGTGAAAGGAGGTCCCAAGGGTCGTGACTGTTGTTGAGAGCTTCTTATGGGGTTTAAGAGAAAGAAGGGCTTGGTTTCTAAAGGGGCACAGTGAGGGTGGATCTCAGCTTTGATTGATAAATTAGATCCTATAACATTTATGGTCTGTCCATACCCATTTCCATGGCATATCTGATTTGACTCCTGTGCCCGCCCAAACATGCATAGGCATTAGGTGGTCAGTAGCCGATTCTCCCTTAAAATGTACAGGAGACACAGCTGTACCTCATGGAACAAGCTCCCCAAACCAGTTCAGGCTGGACCAGCCCTTCAAATCGTACACTGTGAATATATTTGTATAGATACTGGGTGAGCTCGTCTGTTGTGGGGGCAGACAAAGACAGTCTAGAGATGGACGTATGTGTAGCAGGTGTGTGCATGGGGGGGGAGCAAGGTTTCTGGACATGTGTGTTTGGAGAGGGGTGTGTGTGTGTGTGTGTGTGTGTGTGTGTGTGTGTGTAAAGGAGCTAGGCTGCCAAGTGCATGATTGAAACAGAGGCATGCACACAGACAGCACACCAAGAACAGGACAGATTACTGAATATTCCCCGTGCTTCCTACCTCGAGCATATGTAGGAAATGACAAGGAACACCCTAGTGTTTATGCAGCATAACCATCTGAGAAAGGGAACATTTTTTTATTTAAAACACTTCTCAGAGAAGCTCTTAGTATTGCTTGTCTTCAGAGAGACCATATCAGTGTGCGCGGTAGAACAAAGTTTGTCTTTCTTGTTTATGTTTGGTTTACGTTGTAATAGTATTTTTGTGGTTTTCCCTCCAAAAGCCTAAACGTGTGTTATAATAGTTGCTCCTTATCCATGATGGATGTGTTCTGAGATTCTCACTCAAGACCTGTAACTTACTATTGAACCCTGTATATATATATGTATCACTTTGTTTCTAAATGTCATGCAGTGTTGCCCTACAGTACCAGAGTTAATCTCTGTTTCCTAGTTTTGTGCCCTGGGGGCTCCTTTGTATCACTAACCCTGTGATCTGAAGGAGCTAATAATTAACTCAAGAATTACCTGAATAGAACACCGCTCTATAGCAGGTGATTTAGAAGGCTAGTAAGTTAATAATGGTTGGGTGACACGTACAGCGTGGATACACTGGACAGAAAAGCAATTGACATTCTGGGGAGGAAAGAGTACAGTGGTGGGAAGTGTCACCAACACAGTAAAAATTGTAGCTATTTAAAGCTTATGGCTTGTTTATTTCCAGAATTTTCCATTAATACTTTTGGATGGTGGTTGGCCATGAATAATTAAAACATTGGAAAAAAACAAAACAAAACATGGTTGCAGGGTGTGGCCTCCATGTTTCATTTAATTCTTGTAACCCTCTCATAAGGAAGTTAAGGCAGGTATTTTATGGATTAACAGTGCAAGTTACAACGGGTGGCTTATTCTGGGTTGCAATACTATTTGAGGATCAAATTTAGTGCTTCTGAACCTCAGGCACACAGTTTCTGCCATACGAGCTACAGAATTAAGGCAAAAAATTAGTACAAAACACTGTGTCAATATTCAAGATGGCTTTCATTTTCATGAAGAAAATACAATATATTTGTGTCAAACCCTGAAAGCTGGATTGAGTGAAATATTTTACTGGGAGAACTGGACTAATTAACCACCCCAAAACCCTTCCATTTCTGAAAGGTTGATTAAGTGTCTTGTTGTTTTTTAATTTACTATATTTCAAAATATTACTTCAGCAGTATTTTTAAAAATTTTAAATCTTATTCTAACTTAGCAGTTAGGAAATTGTTTTGTAATATTTTAATGTAATTGCTAAAATTATTATGCTTAATGTATAAATATTCTTCTCTTGCCTCATTGCTGCCACAGTAATTTAAAGCACGGATCACTTCCCCTCCACAGGTGGCTGTCGGTAAATGTCAGCTTGATTTCTCTCTCACTGATCCCAGAGATTTCAGAGATGTGGATAATCTGGAGGTCCCAGGAACTAAGAACTTTCCAATTGTGAAGGTTTTCTGTTACAGAATTCTTACTCAATGGAGTTTAGTTAGCAATTAAATCAAACGTTTTTTTAACTTTTTCCTATTTGCGTCATGTTCCCAACATTTAAATTAGTCCTAATACTCAAAAGGGCCTTTCTCCAACTCCCCATGAATAAATTAACTCCAAACTGTGAGAAGCAAAAGCCGAGAGTTGACTGCCCCTCCTCTGCTGTAGAAGTAAATTCCCTGGGCCCTTGTATATCTGCAGAGGCTGTCAGCCATATATACGCCTGTGTGTGCTTATGCATGCGTGTGTGCGTGTGTGCACACGTGTGTTTGTGTGTGATGGTATAGAGGTTAAAAAATATCTTTCTGACTTTGAAAGGCATTGCTGTTTTATGTTCTGAAATCTGTTTGATTCTGAAACCTTGTGCGACCTTTATTGTAGGCTATTTTCCCCTTTCTCTGTAGAACAGTTTGGGATTTCCTTTTTGCTTATCAATACATTGTTTTAAATTTTGGACATTAATTTTTACGTGTGTGTGTGTGTGCGTGTGTGTGTGTGTGTGTGTGTGTGTTTGCTGTGTGTACACGTGCCATAGCATGAGAGTGGAACTGAGAGGACCACCCGTGTAGCGGATTTTCCCTCTCTTCTTTATGGGTCCGAGGGACTGAATTCAACTCGCTGGGGTTGCTGGGAAAGGAGTTTTCTCTCCTCGCCGAGCCACTTCACTCACCCTCCTCACAGTCTCTAATGTGGGTCTCTTTTTGAACTGAATAAATTCTTTCTGAATGAGGGACCCTTTCTTTCTATCCTCGGACATGATCTCATTGTGTGTTTCTTCCCTTTGCCCGTTTCTTTCCTTGTTTATCTCAATTATTGTTTTAGTTTTGGTGCTTGCCACTTTGAGTGGTTGCTATGGATCCTATTGGATGAGTGCTCAGTAGACACTGGCCCCTTTGAGGTCTTAGACTTCTTGTTTGTTAGTTATCTTTTAGTTTACTTCTCTGGGATGCTTCCTACGCATCAAACAAGAGACTGAAAAGAATTAATAATCATGGAAGAAAGACTTTGTGTAAGATAGGAACATATGATTGCACACATACACATAGATCTATTTAATACATATTTATAATGCAAATCAAGTAATAAACCAAACATGTTTAATAATTGGGGTGGAAGGTAATTTTTAGTGTTATATCTTTGACTATCTTCTAATCTCTGGCCTCCTCCCACACGCTTCCCCATATCCACCATGGCATCTTGTATCTTCTCATCTCTTCTGCTTCCAACGTGTTCCCCATTTCCTGGGTTAGCCTTGGGGACTTGCGTATTTTTAAAAGTCCTAGCTGTCCCCTCAGTGGAAGTCAGGGAAGAGGAGACAGACTTGAGAGGCCATTTAACCGTCTCTCACCAGAAATCCTAACACTTTTTTATATCCATTTCTGGTATTAGCTGATACTTTTATTTTTCAAAAAAATTCAGAAGGAACAGAAAATTTTCAGTAGACATATGAGATAAAGTGGAAAGAGAACTTTTTCAATATCTTCTGCCAAGAATGTCAGTATTTTAAGGAAAGGAAGCGAGATCTAATCTGGTCAAATGCCGCGTTTGAAGCGGACTATGGTGAGAGAAGCTTCCCACGCTGGGAGAACAGGAAAAGACGTTCTGGTCATAGGACGCCCAACACTTAGAGAAAAAAATGGAAAAAAAACCCCTATGATTATGTGTTCTGTATATACAGCATGCAGAGGAAGGGGCCCATTAGGAGGAGCACAGATTCTGAGTTCAGCAAGACCTGAGATTGAATTCTGACTTTACCATTTAATAAACCTCTAACCATGGAAAAAACTTCAATAACTTTCAACAACCTTCACTAAAGAAAGTATTGAAGTAAGACATCCACCTGTTTTATATGAACTCACAGAAGAGACAGACAGGTCAACCCTCAGAAAGATAACTCTTAAACGGCAGAAAAATGTGCACTGTGCTGTGGTAAATGAAGAACTTTTAGATCTCGTGAGAATCACGGGACTTTACTGGAGATCTAAGCATCAAGAGGGCATCAGAGTATAAAGAATGTCCTTAAGAAGGAGATTCAAGGTGATGTTTAAATAGCTGTTCAGGTTTTCCAACTACTAATTGTTTTATTCAGGTGCTTGTGGGGTAGGGAGAGAGCCTGAGAGCCGGTGCCTGCAGAGGCCAAATGACGTCAGAGGTGGTTGTGGGCCACAAGGTGTGGGTGTTGGGAACTGGACTTGGATCTTCTGCAAGGGACGTTTACACCGTTAGCTTCCCCACACCATCTCTCAAGCCCTACGGATGCAAACCATAAACAACATTTCGGGTAAATGGGTCCAGAGACTGGCTATCACAGGCACACGCTTCTCTATGTTTAGTACAGGAAATCTCATACATTTCTGGATTTAGTACTAAACATCTCAAGTCCCAACTTGTCTAGGTTTCGCTGGTCACGAAAACATTGAGTTTTCCGTGTTAGGTCCTAGATTTCAGCAGGGTGTTTGATCACTCTTACCTGAGACTCTGATGATAGGGACAGAATAGATCAAACACTGATCCAAGGGACACTGAGGACATCAGCTGACCAAGCTTGCAACTACAGCATGCTTGAAAAGTAGCAAGAGAAAGGGAGTAGTTGGGGCCAGCAGCAGTTGCTCTAGCTTGGGTGGTAGAACAACTCCCTGTAGCCCCAGCCCAGTGAGATTAAATCGCATTGTGTGCGTTCCTTCAGAACCCACTCTTTCCTCTGCAGTCTGAGCACATCACGGAGCAGACACTCCTTCATCATGGCAGCAAGCTCTCCCAAGTCTGTAGTGTTGATTGGTCTGAAACTTGGATCTGAAAACTATCCATATCTAGCCATCATTTTGACGGCATGTTTTGATTGTCCAACTAGATGGAAATAAGTAGCAATCCCCCTGCAGTAGGATGGGCACCAGTGTGGGTGCCTGTACTGCTTAGATTATTCCTAGTAGAATTTCAAAGTCCGTCTCCAAGAAATTATGTGGTAGTCTGCTGGCGTTTGTTCCCAAAGCTTGTCAAAAAATACATACATTTCAAGCCACCATTCCCGTGAGATGAATTGTAAATGATGCCGTTTAGAAAAGGCCATGGGAGAAATAAAAGCCAGTGAATTCACATAAAAAATGAAACTAGATTTGATATTGATTTTTTTATACTTCCTAGATGGCTCATAACGTTCCTTGATTCTTTTCCCAAACAGCTTGATTGTGCAGGCCACAGACACAGGGGTGCCCAGGCTTTCGGCTACGACTCTCGTTGAGATCCAGGTGATCGACATAAACGACAACGCTCCAGTCTTTCTCCCCTCGGAAGCAATAGAGATTGCAGAAGGTAAGTGTGCCAACTTGGAGCCAACTTTTAATTAACGTGTACATTTTATTTTACAACCGGATGTTGCACTAAGCATTGGTTCTCCACAGCTGGGCAAACCAGATCATTTCCCCTTCATTTTATTCACTACACAATGGAAAGGTCATAAGGAAAATATCAAATGTCATTGGATGTAAATCATAAAACTGAATTTGCATTTCGATGGGCTTGAGACTGAGTCCCTCACCTCAATCATTCTTTACAGTGTGCTCGTGTGCAGAGCGATATTCTCGAGACACTAAATGTACTCCAGACAGAAGCCCTTGTTGCCGCTGTAATAATCTCTTGACCTTTCTGAGCACTGATGCCGTTAGGCCCATGCTTTGTTGGTCTTGGAAGGATGCTCATGGCAATGACGAAGTGAACAGGATAATGTGCAGAGTCAAAACGTTCCCCTAGCATAACCCCGCCTTCAGCATGAGTGCCACACCACTGGTTGAGACTAAACACAATGGGTTTCGTGCTGGACTGACTGAGTCATTTGATGTGCAATGACTCCATAGTCTGGGAACCCAAAGTTGTCCCTCGGTGAATGACTCCACTAGTAAAGCCAACTTATCCCCCTATAGACAAAGCTGGACATGGTGGTGGCCTCTGTTCCTCTGCTTTCTCTTTTCCTACCCAAGCCTTTCCTGAAACAGTGTGAACATCTTACTGTCTTTGCTTTCTAAACAGATTATACCAACTCCTTCCCCTAGAAGCCTCTACACACAGGGACATCTATAAGTATTATTCTCTACAAACAAAACATATTTCAGGTTTATCGCTCAGTTTTTATATCTTCATTGGATTTGATGGCTGTGTCCTGTTCCTGGACCCATAAATCGATGTTAAAATACATCAACACGACTGGTGTGAATCTGTCATGAGAACAAATGACATGAATTGAAATCTACTGACTGGGGTAAGAGCTTAGAACTCGCCAAGAATTCTTCCCCAGGAATGAAGAGTGAAAATTATGTATCCTATATGCAGTGGAACAATTCTGAATGTCTTGGACGAGACTTTCCACCTGCACCAGACTAGGCTCTTGGAAATGAAGTTCCTTTCACAAGTGGGTTAGGTAGGGAGCCCAGGGGCGCGTGAGACACGGAGCATGTCATGTGTTCAGGGAGGATTTTTTCGTGAGTAATAGTGCCTTAGAAAATAGTAAACTTACCTCCCTCGCTACCCTGGGAATACTTTGTTTTCCCTTAGCTCTGGGAATTTTAATTTTGAGAAATTTAAAGCAATACCTGTTATTATCAAAGAAATATTTCTTTCTTTCTTTTCTGTTTCCCCCTCTAAAGAGTAAGAACTAAATCTTGCATCTGTACCTAAATATTTTTATTCAGCTCTGGTCTGCTTGCAAAGTTAATTATTTGAATAAATTCTTTGAGTAATGTCCTTTTTCTCCCCTACACTCCTGAGAGTGTCTGCTCAGACATAGGAACAATGGTGTGGGACAATGGTCTATAGTCTGTCAATTATATATTAAATAAATGCTGATTGGCCAGTAGCCAGGCAGGAAGCATAGGCGGGACAACCAGACAGGAAGTAGATGTGGGTCAATGAGAACAGGAGAATTTTGGGAAGAAGAAAGTACATTCCTCTGCAGTTTTGGCCCAGCTACAAAGGAAGCAAGATGTGACTGCCTCGCCAAATAAGGTTCAGAGCCACGTGGCTAACACAGATAAGAATAATGGGCTAATATAAGTTATAAGAGTTAATAAGAAGCCTGAGCTAATGGGCCAATCAGTTTATAACTAATGTAGACCTCTGTGTGACTTATTTGGGACTTAATGATTGTGGGAACCAGGTAGGACAGAAAACTCAGTCAACGCTGTATACCACAGGAAAGCCTTCAGAATGGCTTCTGAATCTGGAATGTGCTGTAGGCGTACAGTGGAAAACTGTAATATAAATCTGGAGCCTGCATCCTCAATTTTCTCCTCTGTGGTAGATTTTCACTTTTATTGGACTGGTAAATTCTTCTGTGTTTTGATTTAGCCTGTAATGAGCTTTACATGAGAAATTATGCCAGAAAAAAAAAAACGAAAATCATTTTAGATTTAAAATAAAAATACTTGGATTGCATGATTGAAGCAATGTCTTTTGATGATGAATTTAATGGAAACTGACATTGGTCCTGATGATTGCAGATTCTTTGCCTGGTGTAATCGTGGCTCGGGTATCCGTTCATGATGTGGACTTGAATCCCGCTTTCACCTTCAGTTTTGTCAAAGGGAGCAACTCCGGAGCCAAGTTTGCTATCCATCGGGACACAGGAGTGGTGGTGCTGGCGCAAACACTGGATTTTGAAGAGGTTGCTGAATACGAACTGATTGTCCACGTTTCTGATTCAGGACACCACACAGAGGGTTCCCTTATCATCCGTGTGCTGGATGTGAATGACAACCCTCCAGTGTTTTCTCAAGACGTCTATCAGGTAGAGAGAGGGAAAACTGGAAAGAATGGGGAATGGGACTGAGAAAGGGCTGAGAAGTTAAAAGCCCTGCCTGTTCTTCCCGAGGACTTGAGTCTCTTCCCCGCACTCATGTGGGAACTCCCAACCTTCCTTAACTCCAGATCCGGGGACTCTGATCCTCTTTGAACTCGACAGACACCAGGCATGTGCATGGGGACAGATGGACATGCAGACCAAACACTCATATACATAAGCTAAAATAGATAATAAGAGTGAGTGATGTCAGCCTTCCACCGCTGACGATCTGGTCTAGGCTATCAATCCTCACGATTGTTCATCCTGAGTTATTGCTGCAGGCTTACCTATCATATTGTAGACTAGAAATCAGCTGGAATTACGTGGCTCGTTTATTTCAGTTTACCGAGTATGCGGACCACGAGCCTGTTCTGTGTTCTCCCTTGTGTGTGTGGAGTTGGAGTTCAGGTGTTCGCAACACTTGAAATTGGCCCTGGATTTTTTTAGGCCACAGAGAAGATGAGATCATTTGCACGATCTGACAAAGTCTTGGATAGGATCATTCTTTGGATTAACATGTTACACAGATGGTGAGCCAATGCAGGAAGATTTTAGATTTTAGGGCAGACTCTGTGTTAACGCAGTCAGGACAGAGACTGGAAACGTATCCCAGCAGTCTACAATGAAGCCAAGGAAAGAAGATGAACTTGAGAGCTTTATCTAAGTAACCATCCTCCCTGACGCCTTGCTTGAAGGATATAGTTAAGACATACGTAACAATGAATATGAAGTTAGTGATTGCACTACCTTCTGTCATTCAGAAAAAAAACAATCTAGAAATAAAACGTTTCCTAGTAAGAACCAGAATGAGTGAAATTAAAACTGTTTTCTGAACCCAGGGACTATTAACATAATCACTTCGATGCTTTATACATCAACAGGCCTGTCTTAGTCAGTGTTCTGTTGCTGTGAAGAGATCCCATGACCACGGCAACACTCATAAAGGAAAAAATTTAACTGGGTCTGGCTTACAGGTTCAGAGGTTTAGTCTACTCTCATCACAGTGGGACACCCTGGCAGCGTGCAGGCAGACTTGGTGCTGGAAACGGAGCTGAAATTTCTACATCCGGATCCATAGGCAGCAGAAGAGGAAGTGTCACACTTTGCCCAACAAGGCCACCCCTACTCCATCAAGGCCACGCCTCCCAGTAGTACCTCTCCCTATGAGCCTGTGGGGGTCATTTTCATCAAACCACCAGGAGGCCTGTGAAAAGCAGATCGGGTAGTTTCTTGAGTCGAAACTAAAGGCATGATGTCAGGTTCCACCCCTACTCCGGAGGATAAGATACTTACAAGCACGATGCCTTTTTCCTTTTTTGTCCTCAGGTCACAGTTCCTGAAGTAGCACCCGCAGGGTCCTCTGTGCTGACCCTGTCTGCCATAGACATAGAGAGCAGTGAGGATATTTCCTACAGGATCCTCTCGTCCTCGGAGGGCTTTGCCGTTGATCCCAGGAACGGTGAGTTACCGACAGTGACTTTAGGGCATCATCAGTGACAGCAGAGAAAGGAGGAATCATCCACTGTTAGTGTTTCTAAGGCAGTCTTCCCCCACTCCTCCCACTCGCTGCAGTTGTGGACACTGCTTTCTTTCCTACCTGCAGTGGAAATGCCAGTTTCTCAGTGGCTAGAACACAAAGGGCTCTGGTTAAATGCCGCTCAACAGGAAGAAATGCAGAGACACCCCACCACCACCACCCATAGAGTGACACCCACGTTCTTGTGTCCCACCAACAGGGCTTAGGAAGCTGTTCTGTGGCTCAGCGAGAATCAAAATGTCTAAAGAATCAGTTCATGAATGAGAGCTTCGTACAGAGTGCAGAAACTGTTTACCCAGCGCAAAAGTATCCAGCAATAGTGCCCAACGCTCAATGGAGATAGGAATAATTTAAAAAGAGGCAACACTTAGTGTCAGTCTCTACCAAATACGAGCCGTGGCTGTGTTCTGCTTCATTTGGTGTCCTCCGTGGTCCTTTGTGCTTTTATCAGAGAGCTCAGCTGTGCTGTGCCATGTACTCAAATGTTTAGACAGGGCACGAGGGGCCTTACCAGTGAACAAGCACTGAATGTGGAGCTCAATAAAGAGCACTAATCAGGAGCATGGTGTCTAGAGGGCACACTCTTGGGAAGAAAAGGAGCACGGCATCGCACTGTGGTCTCAGCTCTGCACACTGCAGTTTCCTTTTCAACCGCGAGGCGAGTTTAAAATGAGATGCAAAGAAGAATTTAGGTCCAAAACATCAGAAGAAGACTCACTGGGTGCTTGTGGCAAGAGAATACAAATGCTACACAGCTGTAGGTGTGTGTCTGCGGTGTAAGTGTCAGCATATTAGGTACGTCACTATCCCACTGTCTACACAGCTGTAGGTGTGCGCGCGGTGTAAGTGTCAGCATATTAGGGGCGTCACTATCCCACTGTCTACACAGCTGTAGGTGTGCGTGCGGTGTAAGTGTCAGCATATTAGGGGCGTCACTATCCCACTGTCTACACAGCTGTAGGTGTGCGTGCGGTGTAAGTGTCAGCATGTTAGGGACGTCACAGTTCCTTCTGTCTACACAACTGTGGGTGTACGTGCAGTGTAAGTGTAAGAATGTTAGGGACGTCACTGTCCCCTTTCTCTCTCAGTCTGTTCTTCTCATCCCATGAAAGTCCAGACACCAGCACCTGCTGTCCTGGCTCAGCCTGTGCGATGCAGACCCCTGAGCCTTTCATTAGCAGCAGTACTGTGGCCTGACGAGTGTTATGCACAAATATTGCTGCAGTGTTGATTAGAATGTTTTGAGTTAGCAATTGCTATCAAGTCTGTCTAGTTCATGTGCAATGATCAATGAAATGTGGCATTTAAACCTCATCGTTATACATTTAATTTTAGTAATCACACTTAAAAACACTTTAGTAAAAATGCCATGTGTACTCACTTGTAAATGTCATGTATTTCTATGTTTACCAAATTAAGAGATGTTTGATATATTACATCATGTAGGAAAATGCCACTTGTTGAATTAACCCCTGATCTTGAGAAAAGATATCTTTATAATTAAGCCCTCCACAATAACATTCCACTGCTTTCATTTGGCTGGAGTTATTCCCCGAGTAATTCCTCATTTGTATGTGTTCCGAGGCGGGAAGCATGTGTGTGTGTGTGTGTGTGTGTGTGTCTGTGTATGTATGTGCATGTGTGCATGTCTGTGTTTGTGGTGTGTGGGTGTATCTGTGTGTGTGTTTATGTATGTGCATGTGTCTGTGTGTTTGTGTGTAACGTGTGTATGGTATGTATGTGTTTGTGTGTGTGCATGTGCGTGTGATGTATGAGTGTGTATGTGATGTGTGTGTGTGTGGTGTATATATGTGTGGTATGAGTGTGTGTTTTGTGTGCATGTGTATGTGTGGTGTATGTGTGCATAGTGTGTGTGCGATGTGTATAGTGTGTGTAGTGTGTTTGTGTGTGGTGTGTGTGTGCATGTGTGTGTGTGTGTTGCCAGGCACACTTGAGTGGTTGAATATTCCAGCTATTTCATATTTATTTTCTTCTGAGAGAAGATCTCATTGTATTTTCTAGTCTAGTCTCAAACTCTCAGTCCTTCTACCTCAACTTCCCAAGTGTCAGGATTATAGGCATGTACTCCCTTACACAGTTCAGAATAGTTACCTTATTCTGAATCGTAGAATAGTGAATAGTAGAATATCACTGTACATATTTTTATAGATAATGGGATAAAATAAAAATATATGAGACAAGAGTGTACTTTCTTTTAAAAAATAATGCAACAACTTACTATACAGAAATAAAATCCAAGAAAAATGTAGCAAAGGCAGTCTCAAGGAGCACATTTAATTGTAACTTGTGATTAGCTTTGAAACTTTTATATAACTATAATAATTTTGAAATTGATCTGCGCTGTTTGTAATGTCACACGTCCAGCAAAGAGCAAGGCATATGTGCACACCCACTAAGTGTTTGCTAGCTCAGGAGATCCTGAGCAGTGAGTTCACAGCTTTGACATGTGCTCTCATTTTGCAGGGACTGTGTTTGCTACTGGTTCTCTATTGCTTCTGAATAAAATATCAACGCTTCGATTTCTCGTGGAAGCCAGCGACGGCGGAACTCCCTCGCTGAGGGCTCTGACGCTCGTGGAGATAGAAATACAAGATGTGAACAGCTGTGCTCCTGAGTTTACGGTGGGGCACTACAATCTCAGCTTGAGGGAGGATGCGCCCCCTGGAGGCACCCTCATGACGTTTACAACCCTCGACTGTGACTACACTTTTGAAAACACACACACTGAGTATTCCATCATCAGTGGCGACTTAGACAACTCCTTCCACATTGAAACCAGCCTCCTTCCTTCGGAATATCCCCATCAGCAGGGCGGGGCTCTTGTGTTGCTTCGTGCTCTGGACAGAGAAGCCAGGGCCAGCCACAAGCTCGTCATTCTGGCCTCTGACCGCGGCTGCCCTCCTCTGAGTTCCACAACTGTCGTAGCAATAGAAGTCATGGATGTCAATGACAACGTGCCCACCTTCCGCAGCCGGCAGTACCGAGCCCACGTCAAGGAAAGCACCCCTGTCGGGAGTCACATCACTGTGGTGTCGGCAGAGGACCAGGACGTGGGCTCCCATGCGGAAATCAGCTATGACATCATCTCTGGAAACGAGAAGGGACACTTTTACTTAGAAGAGAGAACGGGGGTTCTTTTTTTGGTGAAACCTCTGGATTACGAGGAGACGACAGCATTCACTTTAACTGTCCAAGCTGCTGATAACGACGAGACACACGTCTCTTTCGCCGCTGTGCGCGTCAGTGTGTTAGATGACAATGACCACGCCCCTCAGTTTACGTCCCCCACCCTGACCTGCGCTGCTCCTGAAAACCTGCCTGCCCCTTCCATCGTGTGTTCTGTCCGTGCCCTGGATTTTGACGCGGGGCCTTACGGAGAAGTGACTTACTCTATTTCCTCGCCCTGCCTAGTCACACGTGGGATTCACCCCCATCAGGATCTCTTTGTCATTGACCCTTTAACGGGGGACATTCGAGCTAAGCAGACGCTGGACTACGAGAGTGTTACCAAGTATTGCCTCGTGGTTCAGGCCAAAGACAGAGGTGGCGCCACAGCTTCCCTGGAGGTCTGGGTGGAAGTCGAAGGGATGGATGAGTTTGAACCCATCTTTACTCAAGACCAGTACTATTTCAGTCTCCCGGAGGACGGTCAAGGACAGCAGCTGCTTGGCAGAGTGGAAGCCTCAGACGCGGACGACGGCGTCGATGGGGTCGTTCTTTACTCCCTCAGAACTCCATCCCTTCTCTTTTCAGTAAACAAAACGAGCGGCAATGTTTATTGGATTGGAGCCCCTTTCCTACTAAACAGTCAGCTCAGCAAAGAAGACACCCTGGAGGTGAGAATAACTGCCCACAGCCCCAAGCCCAGCTCCAAGTCCGCTTCCTGCACGGTGTTTGTGAATGGCTCTTTGCCATCTGAAGGACATCACAGAGCAGTGTTTGCCCACAGTTTCTCCATCAGCCTTGCGGTCTCCTTTTTCGTGTTCCTCCTACTTGTCTGTACTCTACTCGGACTGATTTTAAGACATAAGCCCAACAACCCACTACCCAGTTATGAGGAGAAGACACTGTCATCCCCGCAGGATGATCCCCGATTGACAGGGGCTCCAGGCAAGCTCCAGGCTGGGCAGCAGACCCTGGAGTATGGGGACGTGGCAGAGTCTGGCGGAGCTATGCCTGCTGAATGGTTGAACTTCTTGAGTGTCATGGAGAAAGACATCATCTACCTGTACAGGCATTCACATTCCAGCGGGCACTGCTCTGTGGATGGAGAGACGGCAGAAGATAAAGAAATCCAGAGGATAAATGAGCAACCTTATAGAAAGGACTCGGATTCTGTACTGAGTGACCGCGGGTCCAGGGTGCCAGACTCGGGCATCCCCAGGGACTCGGATCAGCTTTCCTGCCTGTCAGGAGAGACAGATGTGATGGCTGGGACTGAGGGGATGGAAGTCAGTCCAGTGTTTGAGGGAGGAGAGGAAGGGGAAGGCTGTGAGGCCATCTATGTTCAAAGTAACGGATTGTTCCAGAAAAGAGAGGCCAAAGCAGGTGTTTTGGCTGATAGCAGGAAAGAGTCTGCCTCTTCAGTTAGTCAGGAAGGAAGGTATGCATCTCTTTCCCCTCAGGCAGCCTCTGCTGATGGTGCCAGAGACAGCTACGCCTGGGATTACTTCCTCAGTTGGGAACCCAAGTTCCAGCACCTCGCGTCGGTGTTTAATGACCTTGCCAGACTAAAGGACGAACATTTGCAGAGGCTTGGCGTTCCAAAAGACACATCTTTTGTTTTCCCACCCCCTTTGATAACAGCAGTAGCACAGCCTGGGATTAAGGCTGTTCCCCCGCGAATGCCAGCCATCACCCTGGGTCAGGCTCTCCATAAACTGCCCCGATCGCCCCTCCCCTACTATGGAGATTCTCTACCAGAAGCCATGTCGCCCAGCTTCTCGCCATCTCTTTCCCTGCTGACAATGCCGACTCCTGCCAGGTCAGCCGCGTTGCCAGGCGGAGAATCTGTAGGAACACACAGATGTGGCGCAGGCCGTGAACTGAAATCTGACGACGAAGTCCAAATGTAGTGAGGTTGTGGTGTTGATTCAGCTCTTGGCAGAGACAGACAAAAAGACACAAGCAAGTCCGGTAGGAGGGGTTTGTGCTTACCAAGCATCGGGAATCTCGTGTAGACAGCGCTTGTGAAAATCTCGCCCGTTTCAGTTTCTCGAAATTCTTCCCGCCTTAATGAGAAGTCATTTCGTCTTTTAGACTTTTTGAGTTGCTCTCAGGACACACATTTGTAGACATTCACTAGTCAGTTTTGTTATTCCTGTTTTCTGTTTATTTGTTTTAATGTTTAGAATTTATGATTGAGTATTCATCAGAGATTATGACTGGAATTTTTCATGACTCTGGGTTGATATGGCCCAATAAGAATTCTTGATTGAACGAAGCAGAAAGGACATTTTTGATGTACGGCTGAAATGAACAGGACGATGCTTAGGCATCCGTCTGTCGCCAGAGACATGTTATCTCGGCCTTTTCTACAAAATGGTACCCCCTGACTGTTCTGTCCACATAAGAGACTTTGAAGATTAATTTATAGAAATTACTTCATTTTATTTTCTTCGACATATAGTAACTTTGTGTATGAGATAATTTATCTAGTCAATGCCCATTTTTAAAGTTTGTGTAGATGAAATTGTGTTACTAGCTAATTATAAATTTCATAGAGTAATTTAGCAGTATATTTTTAAATGAAGTTTTTTATATATGAAAGTTTCTATTATTAAAGTTAAGGGTGGGTGTCAGAAGTCTTTCTTCCATTTACTTATCATTACTTTGTTGTTACCTGGGACAGTTCCGCAACAGGGTACGAAGAATTCTGCTTTACACAGTCAGAAGCCCACCTGATCTACTGAGAAAATTACCCAGACGCATTAGAGACTTCACACGGGTGCTTACATGAAGTGCCACACTGCTCTCTGACGGACCAACAGGGCATCAGAGATGCTTTTCCCTGTTAGGAGGCTGAGTGCACCCCGAAGACCATGATCTACAAGTCATCCTCCCATGGGATGGGGTAGGGTGGGAGGACCACAGCCAGGCTTTGGGATCACCTTCTAGGAATTCCAGTGAGAAGTCTTTCAGCTCTGGAAGTAGTTCTTTTACTGATTGTTTCCATGCAGACCACCTGTGGAACTAGGGGAGGTAATTTGCATTTGCTTAAAACCATTTCAGGCGCAGCTTGATAGCTGACTGGATAGGTCAGTAGTTCAATGGCTGCCAATGCTGATAGAATATATATCTTCTTGCTGACTCAAATCCAGAGCGTGTGTCTAAAGCACATTAGTAACCAGTAAGTGCGAGGGCCATGAAGGATTTGGATAAGCTGGAATTCACATTGTATTGCTGGAAATCACATGTAGGCCATTTAAATATTATAGCACCGATTCATGTCTCTCCTTATCTCTGGGGCATCTGAAGAAGAAATTTAATGACTTTTGCTAAAAGACAAAACGAAAATGCACAAAACTATAATAATTTCACTGTGCCAATGGGTTGTCTCTTGACTGTTTTCAGCAGAGCGTGGTTGGTGATAGGAATGCACTCATCGTGTTTTCTTTATCTAATTACATGTGAAAGCTTTACTTTGTGGCAGAATTTATGTGTTAACCATGAATGCCTTGTTTTTAAATGGGTTATCCACTTACTTAGGCATCTAACCTTTTCCTAAGTTTCTCACCTTTGATTTATTACTGAACAAGACTCTGTGGGCATTTCCCCCCTTGCTATTTCATAGGAAACATGAAAGACATGTAGAGCTCTCTGTACCAACATTTAGCAGATCTTTAATTGATGACTTTATTAATCCCGTTGCTAGCACTGCCGCACCACTGAGGGACAGCCACAAGTCGAGTGGAGGGAAAGACGTCAAGATGGCTGAAGATGGCGGGGAAGAGCCTCCTCAGGATTCCATGTCGGCCTTGACGTCAAGATGGCTGAAGATGGCGGGGAAGAGCCTCCTCAGGATTCCATGTCGGCCCTTTAAACCAGAGTGCTCTTTCCTAAGTAAACAATACAACTTCAACTGTCTTCCTTCAAGTCGAGTATTAAGCTCCCTCATCTGTTCTGTGTTACTTTGCTGATCTCTTCACCGGCTTTGGCACTCGGGAGGGGGTACAGAACTTGTTAGTGGAAAATCATATTAAGCCCCAAATTCATAAGCTATAAAATAAAAGACAGTTGTCTCTTGTGGAATTTTTGGCTGCCTGAAATTCTGGACTTTCTTGTTGGCAGCCTTAAAAATCCTGGTGTAAATCAGTACCAAATGGATGTCAAAATTCTGCATCCCAGAAGTAATCATTGGATCGGCTTCCAAAACGGATTCCTGGGCAAATATAGGGGGAAATGCTGTGTCTTTAGGGAATAGCTCATTTCACTGTTTTTAAGAATATCGAAATGTGTTACTCACTACCGGCAGCCCTCATATATGGATGTTTAGCTCGATATGTATGCATATATCCAACAGGGGCAGGATCTGTTTCCCCACACCTTTGTCCTCGACATCTCCGTGTTGTTTTCAAGAAGCGTCAGAGGTGAAAGTTAACTATTAGCTCATCATTTCCAACACGGCTGCTTTTGTTTCCTTTTGCCGTTGTGCGCATGCTCTAAACTAGGACGAACGAGCGCTGACGGAGGGTCCGAGGTGACCAGCGGTTCCAAAGCAGCGAAATGCAGACCTGAACACGGCCAGTGGCGATTTCTAGATAAGCTTGTGGGAATTATCTTCACAGCGTGTTCTACTCGGGTGGAGCGGGTAGAGCAGGTTGTTTGTGAAGGAAGGTTGGAATGGAAAAATCACTCTGCCAGAGGAATTCTGGGATGGCCGGACCTGGAGAAGCTTGGCTTCGCTCCTAAGCAAGGTGTCTTCTGACACAGCAGAGAGATGTGGGGAAACAGAAGGGTGTGAACTCCTGAAATCGGTCCTGACCTGCGAAGGATTTATGCAGCCGTCTGTCTTTTGTGAGGTCACTTTTTGAGGAATCTCGTTCCTCTCCTTCTTTACGATTTATAAAGTAATGCTAGGTGAAGCTCGACTAAAATGCATTTGGTATGAAAACTCTCATGCATTTTCTCTTTGCAGCCCCTCTCACACACAAGCACACTGTGGGTGGATTCCAGAAGGAAACAGTAGGAGAGATTAGGGTTAGGTCCCATCCCTCTGCAGGACTTTGTCCTTGGAACGCCACAGAACTTCAGACTTAAAACCAAGTAAGCAGGAATTTCTTGATTCTCACCGTCAAATATTACATTTACCCAATTTTTAAAGCACAGTATAAAATACAAGACAGAGCCAATTGTTTGTGTTCAAAAATTCAATGTTTTTGGACTCTACTGATATGAATTATTCTGATTCATGTAGATGAAAGAAAGATGTCAATTTGAAACAGAGTAATGGCACCCGGAGAAAGATCCAGAACCAAACGGCTGGACTATGAAACCATACCTTTCTCCTATTAACTTAGCCCTTGGCTATTGGATGTCAATTAGCACACCCTACTGTCTTCATCCATATAACTTCACTCATTGAACTGGACACGAAACTCTAAAGTGAGTAACAGGAAGGGGGAAGGCCTACCAAATAAATACCAGACACGCAACTGCATCTCTTGAATGAGAAAGAATTATTTGGTTTAGAAAACTAAACAAATGTGTCTCATTGTTAGATAGTCAACCCTCGGGGCAAAGGCCTGGGCCCCACTTGTGTGATGAAGCACAGGCGGGTTGAGAATGAGTTTTAGGATGTGTGAATGGGCGTGGAGTGTGCTATGCTGAGCAGGCCTTGAACCCAGTAGGTGAGAATTCTTTCACAGTCCCATGCTGTTGGCCAATTGCAGGGCAGAGAGAAATAAGGGCAAATGTCCTATAATCTTAGGAAAGCCAAAAATCAGAATGTCCTTCTGAGATGAAATTTTATCTTCCTCTCCCATACCCATGATGCACACAGACCCCGTCTGAGTTTCAGGTATGTTTAGAAACACGCTGTAAGCAACATCTTTAAACATATTGCTTGAGACAGCACATTGACACAGCCAAGTATGCTGGCTTAATTTATTTTAGATTCTGTAATAAACCATCGCTATCCATGGCTAGCGGAGAGGAATTTTATCAGCACGAAAGAACAAAGTTTGGCAGAAATGCCTAGAATGTGCACATCAAAATTTACTCAGATTTAAAGTAAAAACAGACTTTCTGGGAGATATTTATTTACAAATGTTGCAAGTAATGTTTTAAACAGATATAGATTAGTTAATAATCTCCCTAAAAATCAAGGTATGGGGCTGGAGGGATGGCGTAGAGTCCTCTTGCAAAGGACCTGGGTTCTGTTCCTGCCACCCATGCGGTGCTCTGTGTCTGTTAACTCCAGGTCTGCAGATCTGACGCCCTCTTCTGGGCTCTGTGGGTACTGCACGTGCAGGGAGCGCATGTGCAGCTGCAGGCAAAACACCTACACACAAACACATCTTTTAAAATAAGTCGGTTGTGTTTTTAAAAAGTATTATATTTTCACCTAGTGATGAGTGATGTAAAGAAAGATAAAGAGACTGACAAGGTCATCAGGGAGCACGCGGTGCTGTTTAGATTGACCAGTCGGGAGGGGCTGGGGGTAACACGGAAGCAGACGAAGTGAATGAGCCGCAGGAGGCCACATTGTCAGCTAAGGCAGGAACTGGAGAGACGCTTGGGGTGTCAGAGAAACTGTGAAGCCAGGTCTAGAACTCAACGTGAGGAAAAGAAGCAGAGGGAAGAACCTTACCGAGGGAGGTCTCTAACTGTGGGGGCCTCACAGGCTTTGCTAGATTTCAGATTGTGTTTCAGGTTTGACAGAAAATCATTAGTGGCACACAACATTATCTGGCTTACACTTTTAAAAGGTGAGCTTGCGAACTGTAACCCAAGGTACCGACCAGGAGTGGGTAAAGGCGGTCACGGGACTCTGGGTGACCATCCATCCCTTCAGTGATATCAGACAGGGACGGTTTACTGCAGGTGGGGACACAAGTTCTCGACACGGGATTGGATGTAGGAGTATAGAGATTTGTACATGAGCTTATGGGTTAGGAGAGCATTTAGGGATGTGGGGAAGCTTCAGTGTATGGCCTCAAAGGCTTGGCAGTGGATAAGTAGATGAGACCCTTCAGAAGTAAACGTACAAAGAAGAAAATATCCCAGGATTAACTTCTGCATCAGTGACCGAGAAGTCCAAAAGTGAAGAGGGCTTGTCAACTAAGTCAATGATTAAAAACAAACAAAAATGTGAGGACAGAACAACAAAAGAATAGTGTAGCTAAAAACAGCAGTGAAGACAGTGGAATATATTCTAGTAACGGCAAGACTGCAGAATTAATCTCGATATTTAAATATTCCCATTACAAGATGCCAGATCCTCTGGATTAGTGAATCTGCAATCCTGTGGGTAACACCTTCTACTAAAGGGGGCTGTTCTTACATGCTGTAAAACACAGAGGGACAGTCGAGGTCACACCTCTGCAGCTGTGCAAGCAAAGGGGAATGGTCCGATTTGTTTGAAAGAGAGAACCATGGGCCTCCAGAAAATCCACCCTCAGGTCTACCCTGGACTGGAACTTCTCAAGTGTGCCTGAATAGGAAGACTGAGATAAGATTTGTGGTGGTGGTCACGTAGCTGTTAATTCAGAAAACCCAACTGAGATTCCCCGTGGAAGAACTGGGTCCCAGTGAATGTTGTGTGATGGGGCAGAATTCAAGCAAATAGATAGAGAAGGATGAGAAGACCTGAGAAGGTGGAGGGAGTCACACCATTCTGCTTGTTAACCCAAGAAGGAAGAGGGAATCACACCATTCTGCTTGTTACCCTGAGAAGGTGGAAGGAGTCACACCATTCTGCTTGTTAACCTAAGAAGATGGAGGGAGTCACACCATTCTGCTTATTAACTTGAGAAGATAGAGGGAATCACACCATTCTGCTTGTTAACCTGAGAAAGCGAAGGGAGTCACACCATTCTGCTTGTTAACTTGAGAAGATAGGGGGAATCACACCATTCTGCTTGTTAACCCAAAAAGGTGGAGGGAGTCACACCATTCTGCTTGTTACCCTGAGAAGGTGGAAGGAGTCACACCATTTTGCTTGTTAACCTGAGAAGATGGAGGGAGTCACACCATTCTGCTTGTTAACTTGAGAAGATGGAGGGAGTCACACCATTCTGCTTGTTAACCTGAGAAGGCGAAGGGAGTCACACCACTCTGCTTGTAAACCTTAGCAGATGCAGAAGACGTTCTTCCCAGCTATGATCTGGGAATGCCCTACTGACTGGCTGCCACTTATCACTACCTAGCAATTCCTCAAATATAAGAAGACCCTCCCAGTAAAGTGGGAGCAAAAAAAAAAATAGCTGTAGTGAAGTAACCTAAAATACTGAGCCCTGGATAATGGGCTGCAAAGCAAAGTCCAATAAAAACGTTAGCCTAATATTTCCAATATAACTAAAGGAAATTAAAGTCACACAATCAATAAAAGTTGCACGTTAATCAAAAAAGGATAAGGATGGAATGGCTACCCAATGGGAGAACATGCCAAGAAGATAAAACCTAGTAAAACTAAAATAGGAAAATTTAGAAGACTAAACTAGGAGGAACAAAAATGACTAGAATCAGTGAAAGTAGTATAGGAAGCAAATGGAAAGGAAAAAATTAGAAACAAAAATACCACACAAAATGCAACTGAAAACATGATCAAAGGAATTTAGAAAGCATAGACTTATAAGGCTGAGGAAAAATGGTTGAACACACAGACATGGAATTCCTGGGGGAGAAATGGAACAGAACAAGCACAGACTCATAATTGAATAAAATTTTCCATACAAAACCCAAACTACGAATCTCATATTGGAAGGATATTCAATGTAAAAATCAGCCAAAGTCTTAAGTTAATAACAAGCTATATTCTAAAAATCTGAACTTGGAGGGAAAAATAAGGAACAGCAGATAAAACTGCCTAGTCACACGCCAGATAGAGAATCCTGTGCGGACTGAATCTCAGCAGCGGCATTTCGGGTACAGGATTCTACACAGGATGCTTGAGATACTGAAAGGTAATATTGGCCAACTTTTATTTTCTCATTCTCTCTACCCCATTCTCTCCTCTTGTGTGTGTGTGTGTGTGTGTGTGTGTGTGTGTGTGTGTGCAAAATTTGTGAGAGCATAGGAACTAATCCTTTTCTGGCTTCTAAGAAA